CTCAGTGGTTTAAGCCACTGCCTTCTGTTCAGGTCATGATCTCAGGGTCTTGAGATGGAGCCCCACATCGGGCTCTCTGCTCAGCGGGGAGCCTGCTTCCCCCTCTCACTCTGCCTGCCTCTCTGCCTACTTGTGATCTCCCTTTCTGTCAAATAAATAAAATCTTAAAAAAAAAAAGAAGAAGAAAAGTACCTTAAAAAAGAAAAAAGATCATCCAGTAAGGAGTGCGAGGCTTAACGTAAGTGCTCCAAAGGGCACCCAGATTCCATAGTGAGAACCTGAGGAAAAAATCCTACATGACAGATACCTGGTTCCTTAAGATCTCCTGAAGTTAGGACTGCTGACAGACGTGAGTTGATGTCTTGAGATAATCTATTGGTATAATCTTTAAGATCTGTCTCGTATTTGCATTGGGCTGTTTTAGGATGGCAGATGACTAAAATGCCAGTCACATTTCTTGAGTGCTTACATTTGTCTAAGTACTTCACATGTAATCCTCCCCACTTTACAGATGCAGAAACTGGGCCACAGAGAGGCATAACTTACTTGTTCAGGGTGACATAGCTAGAAGTGTAGGATTCAAAGCCAGGCATTGGGAGTGAGATGAGAGCTTGTGCTCCGTGAAGGTCCGCACCTGCCCCTTCAAGGCTAAGACCAGGACTTGAGTCCCCTCCCCAACCCAGGAAGAGACATGACTTAGAAGTTTGCAGTTTTCCTTTCAGGCACGCTATGGGGTTTTTAAAAAACAAGATTGGCACAGTTAAAAATATACTGTGAATGTATAAAATTATATGTCTGAATTTTTAAACTTTGCTTGAGACAGCCCTTATATTTACCATGTTATTACAAAGCCCTCAGGGACACCCTTATTAATGACTACACAGTCTGCCATGTGGACGTGTGTGTTCTACTCTCTCGCTCCGGGGTATTTGGCTTCTAAGTTCTCTTTTGTTTCTCTCCCCTCTTCCTTTATTTTTAGTAAGACCTGTCAAGTATCTTTTGTCTAAAGCTTGCTTTGCCTTTAAAATTGCTTTTTAATAAGATCCCAAGGGTGAAATTGAATTAGTGTATGTCATTTTCAATTGGTTGATAGATGTTGTTGCTGAATTGATTTCACTAATGAATTATATATCAACTTGCATATTATCATCAGTGTATGAGAGTACTCATTTTACCTAATCCTTATAAGCACTAAGTATTCTCTTAAAGAAAACAAGTAATAAATTCTGTTGCACTTGTAAAATTTTGCATTTCTTACACACCTCGGCTACTTTGCATATTCTACACAGCTTTGGTGCATTTTTCTGTGAATTAGATAGAAATGGACAATATTGTGAATGTACTAAATGCCACTGAATTGTTCATTTAAATGGTTAATTTTATGTTCTGTGAATTTCTCTTCAATAAAAAGTGCTTGTGTACCTGTGTATGCATGTGCAAATGTGTCTGTGTCTGCCTTGAGTGTGAACTCTCAGGCAGGGAGAACTGCTGTGTCATGCTTTGGCAGTGAGCGTCGGGATGCGACACTTTCCTGTGTAATGCTCTCAGAGACCGAACTGATTGTGTAATGCATACTGCTCTTCTTCCCGCCAGTTATTTTGTACATTGCTGACAAATTTGAGCATCTAATGGATTAACACTGAGTGATAGTGTTTGACCCACCTTGAAGGCAGGGTATCCTGTTAGATGTTAACATGCAGGTTTTATGGCTGCCTGAGGAACAATCACATAAGCAGGGCAGGAAACAGAGGTAAAGATCAAGCCAGTTAGGAAACAGTGGAGACGGCCTGACATTGTGAAGGGCATCCATAAGCATCCCCGTGTCCTGGGAAATGTGGCCAACAGTGGTGTGATTGGTAGCTAGAAAACCCCACAGTTAAAGACTTGCCCTAAGTGGAAGGAAGATGGCTGGTCAGAGCACTCGGCTGGGAATGCCTGTGTTCCCAGACCTCACCGAGCCCTAGTGATGCCCTCTCAGGACATGTCTTTCTGCCCTAGACAGGGCTATAGTATTTCTTGTTTTTAAAGTAGTCTGTTGGTATCCTTTATGTCTTTCTGTATTGGGACTAAATGATTTTCATATGGTTTGTGGGAACTCTTTATTAAGACCACTAAACCCTTTGCCATTTGTTATTTATTGTAAATTATATTTCCAGTTGTTTGCTTTTGAAAATGTGGGGTGCTTGTGTTTAAATCTCTGTAATGTATTAATTTCTGTGTTGTCCTGTCTGTTGATTATTTCTTTTGGTCTTATATCACCAATCTCAGCCTTTCCCTATCCAGTAATTGATAAATACATAATGTACTCTCTTCACTTAAAGAAATTTCAGGTGGGGGGAGGTCTGTATTCTAAGGTAGAAATCTGAATTATTCCCATATTGCTAGTTTCCTTAGCTATTCTTACAGGGGGACATTAGATTAGTTATATCCAGTTTGGGTTTTGATTTGAAGTGTGATAAATTAAAGGTTAATTTGGGAAGAATTAACACTTTTGTGGTATTTAGTCTTACCATCCAAAGGCCTGTTTTAATTTCTGATTTTGTTTTTCCTTTTCACATAGATTACACATATTTTTTATTAGAGGTTTTTTAATATTTTGATTTCTTATTTCTATTGTCAAAGTCTTTCCATGTGTTTTGACCATTATTGGTACCTAGAAATAGTTAATGGTTTTTGTATATTTATCTGGCAACTGGTCAGATGCTCAGATTTATTCAATAATTTTCAGTTGATTCTCTTGGGTTTTCTATATATAATTATCTGCCTGCAAAAAAATGTTTCCCTAATAATTACACACCTTATTTGTTTTATTCATTTTTGCTTCTTTACTAGATAGACCTAGAAGGATATTAAAGGAGTCTCTTATTCCTAGAGATAAGAAATATTGAATTCTATTAGTTTTTGCTTCCATGAAGATAATCCTATGATTACGATAATCATTGACTTCTTATGTAATACGTTATTTTGATTTTCCCTTTTGGTTGCCTGGCCCCAATGATGATTAATAGTACATTAGGGTCTAACTCTGCTATTAGAGTAAGCAGCAGGTCGGCACTGCCGGCTGGTCCTTAAGGTGAAGCAGCATAATTTCACTTCTGCATAATTTTAACCCTTAAGAGAAATGGAAGAAAATGCGTCTGAGTTTTTAATTTTTAAGGGTGGGGTCTTTAATTTTAAATTCTTTTGCTTCATTCAGGATGCCCAGGTATAAACTTGAAGTAGCCTTTTTTTGGATATGCATAATATCACATTGAAAGTCTTTTATCTCTTCTGGGAGGAAATCAAAATCTGATTTTATACTGAGGAAACCAAAATGAGCTAGGTTATTGAATTTCCTGTTCCTAAATTAAAGATGACATTCTTCTCTGATGAGGAATCATAAACTTAAGAATATAATGATGTCCATCCCCCCTCTTTTGTACCTGGGAAGGGAAGGAGGATTGAATTTCCAATCAGTATCTTTGTTTCATGTAATAAAAAAATAATAAAATAATAGCTGAAATTTCTTGAGCACTGTGTGTCAGACACTATCCTGTACTTTGTGTATTAACTGACCTGTTCGCCATAATTGTGAGGAAGGGGCTGTTACTTTCCCTTTTATAGAAGGAGAAACTGAAACAGACCAACTGAATTGCCTAAGGTTCATTGCTTATAGGGACAGAGCTGGGATTTAATTGCAAGAAGGCAGAGTATTTGAGTCCTTTTGTTTTTTGAAAATACTGTTTTATTAACACTACAGTGGTAAACAACTTTATGTTTCTTTATAGATCACTGAGTCACACAAAATTCAAAACCCACAAAGAAGCTAAGAGTCTTTACATTTAATGTGTCCTTCCTGAAAATCCTTAACTGTATACCAGTCTGTCCTCAATCAGTACAATTTGAATATGCACCATTTTTTAATTTAATATGTCACATTTACATAGCAAAATAATGAAGGCACAGCTAATACAAGCAAACTTAAACCCTTCTACTTCTGAGCTGGGGGTGGGGACACACACTTGGATTGGTTCTTCAAGTATTTATTTTTTCCAAACATTAGCTTCATTGAAGAGTTCTGATAATTTTCACAGCTACATTCTAAAAGCTACATGACAAAGACGACTTCACAAGGATCAAACTACATAACACTGAATACATGCTTTACAGGATTTGCTACATTCTACATCTTTTCAAGTAAATTAATATTTCTAGAATGCTAGGTAAAGGGATTTAATACTTAAACATTTGTTTTTTGTTTGTTTTTACACCTTTGTAAATAGACACTACCAAGAAAACACATAAACATGAGACTGTAAATAACGAACACATATGTTGACAGTATTATACAGGTTATACACCCTCCTTCTCAGAACCATGTTGCTTGTCTAAACTCAAATATTCAGAACATTCTTTAGAATTTGAAGTGGCAGTCTTCCAGGCCTCATTAAACAGTACTGTCATGATCTCCATCACAGGCTTCCAGGATTCCATCACTCTTCTCCAAAGTGTAAAGCTGATAGGTTACAAAAGCAAAGTCTTAAAGATGAAATTCTTCTGGGTTCTGTTTTTTCTGCACTGGAAAATGTCCGGACTAAAGAAACTGAAGAGTTAAGCGTTGAGAACATGTTCAGTCTTGGTCTGGGTGTTCTGTGTGTAGTGTGATGACAGTGGAATGAATAGGTTTCAAAGTGACATTCTTTACTTCACATCTACTTGACACCCTTAATAACTCTCAATTGCAGTCCGTGCAGAAGAGATCATGAAAAAAATCATTTTTAATATAACTTGTTTTCTTCAACACATTTTGATATATTTATTGTGTTCAAAATGAAAAATTTGAAACGGGCTGGCCAGGATCTGATTGCTTCAATTTACTATAATTTTAGGTAGGAACACCAGAATTGATTTACATTGTATTTTGGTCCCAAACCTGAGCCTTATTAAGTCCACCAATATTGGGGGAAAAAAATAGTGATTTTGTTTTCGTCGTCATTCTCCTCCTCAATCTCTGCCCCCGCTTATTTCTTGGCGTCATGAGGCACTGCAGAGTGGGGACCCTCATCTTTGGCCGCCGCCGCCTCCGCAGCAGCCTCTGCCGCAGCTTCCTCCTCCTCCTCCTCCTCCTCCTCCCCCTCTTCCTCATCCTCGTACTCTTCCTCGTCATCGTCCTCCTCCTCCCCCTCCAAGGTCCATGCACACCCCTCCATCTCACCGGTGAGCTCCTGGATCTTGGCAAGTAGGGGCTTATAGATGTCGTTATACTTTTTTTCCAGAGCCTGAAATTCCTTATCAAATTTGGCTTCTATCTTATCGCATCGCTTCTGCAGCTTTTTGAGGGCCAGGACTCGGCATTTCACCGAATTAGGCAGGCTCTCGATAAAGTCATTTTTAGGCTTTGGTGCATTCTCCGCGGGGGTCTGGGGCTCCTCCACGGTCTGACCCGCCGCGCTGTCGGAGTCACCAGCCGCGCTGTCAGAGTCTCCCCCCTGCGCACCGCCTTCCGCCATTACCTCCTCTGCCGCCGCGGCCGCCTCCGCTGCCGCCGCTGCCGCCTGGCTTGGCTCCGCGGGCCCCTGGTTTTCCGAGTCAGCCATGATACGGGGAAGCTGCAGAGGTCTAGGGTGGCTCCCGCAGAGACCTGCACCCGAGCTGCACCAGAGAGATCTTGCGGATGCGGCAAGTGGCGGTGACGTCGGCCGCGGCAGTGACGTCGGCCGTGGCCCCGCCCTTTTCTCGCCAGCCCTTGACTGGCTCCCTGCAATCAGCTGACGGCCTTGCCCCCCACACTGCGCCAGCTTCCCCCTGTTGCTACCCTGCCATCTCCCTAGCACTGCAGCTGACGTCAAAACCGGTGTCTTGGATACCCTGCCCCCCATCCGCCCACATACCTGTCCATAAAGCTGGGCTGGGAATGGCAGCAGGTGTGCAAGGCCCCTTCTTAGGAACTGCTCGGATGGCCTCAGCCTTTTTCAGTTTGCTCCTCTAGCCCACTCCGGTCCTTCTGTACAGCGGTCAGTGCATCTGTCTTGGCCTTTGTCTGCATGACCCATGCAGGCGTTGGTCTGGTGTCGCTGCCTTACTCTTGTGGAGTCGGCTTTGTCACCTCTCCGATTCCTGCGAATTCCTTTCCAGAAAGCGAGGGCATGGGAGAGCTGGGTGCACATGTGTGGAGAGGGCCGCTTGTAGGTCCACATGCCCACTCAGCAGCCCTCGTTGGTCATTCCTTGGCTTAGCGGCATATGTATGCGGGCTAAGCTCTCTTAGCAAGAAGGACCTCAGAGCAGTTTTGGAGCCATTTGGATAGGAAATCTCAGGACCCTTGGTATTCTGGAGTATGTTTTAGAAGGTCCCTCAGAATCTTTGGCCTGTGGACAGGAATAAAGCTGGAGGCAGGCGGAAGAAAAGCAAGTCCTTCTAATGCCTGGGGTCCAGGGCAAGGGCCGTGTCTTCTCCATGTTAAAGCATGGAGCGCTGTTCACTGGGGACACAGAGACACTCCTGTGTGCTCACAGACATGGGCCTCCAAGGCACTCCACAGTTCAGCATCTGCTTTGTGGTCTTGCTGGTGATTTGTATCTGAGAACATTTAAAAAAGAAAGAAAAAGAAAAAGGTCTTAAAAAAAGAGAAATCTCCTCCTTTAATAGCAAAGTGAGTCCTCGTTTTATTTTACTTCCTTATCTTGCTTGTAAGACCCAATGATAGCTTCTTGAATAAGGATGAGGGCTTATATTTTAGGTATGGAAGAAGACATGATCCTTCCAGGGATTCCTTAGGAATGTTTTCAAATTCAGTGTTATTGATTCAAATGTTTGTCTTTCACTATATTGGGACTTGCTGAAGCTCTTCCATCAAGCATATGAATGTTAAGAAATTACTTCCCCAAGTACATTTGGTGTTATCTTATGGTTTTTAAGAATATTAAATTATCTAATAATATGTAAAGCACTTAGTGCTGACACATAGCAAGCACTTAATGTGTTTCAGTGTTTTTTTTTTTTTACAAACGACATTCATTAATATGCAAGAATAACCTGCAATAATATTCCCTTTTAAAAGGACATTTTAGTGCCCTTCCCCAAAGAAAGGAACCATTTACAAAATGCCTGATATATTCCAAATAGCAAACATTCTAGGTTTTTTTGTTTATGTATTTGTGATTCTTGTTTTCTATTTTACTTTCTTAATTCTGCTGCAGATAATTTACTTTCCCTTTTCTGTTACCATTTATAGCGACTGGGTTTTATTGTTAAGACTGGTATTTTAGTTTTAGCTCTGCCGGAATATAATGTGATAACACATCTCTATTTAGTTGGCTGACACTATACATATTCTAGATATCACCGATTGTTAGAAGGTGATCTCCCAAACTAAGAAGGCACGTTGAGATCAGAAAATGAAGCAGACTACTTCAAACAGTTGACACAGGGTTTTATACAGGGTGACTTACTGGTAGGGGGATCAGGCAGAGGACAAGCCATGGTAGTTGCAGAGTTACTCTCCACAAAATCCAGACCTTCGTGCCCAGATTCTGGAGTGAGGAGATGCACAGAAGGGCACTGTGGTGAGACTGAAGGGTTTACATACACCTCAAAGGGCTTGCAGGCAACTAAGTGCTAGCTAAGCTTTAATTTGATCTTGTGATACTAGCAGTGCATTAGGAAGGGGAAAGACCATTTTACCTCTAACAGATTCATGGGAGGCCAAAGCAGGCCTCCCCAGTCTGGGCCTTGGTGGGGAATTCTAGGGTATATATATATTAATTTCCAAGGGCCCTAAAACATGTAGCACCAAGAGTGGTCACAGCAAACATGAACAGATGGAGGGCCGAAGATGGAGTCCGTCTTGTTAGCACTCCTAGCCTGTCTATTCCATTTATCATCTCTTGATGGTTGCAGGTACCTTGAGGTTAGGAATGTTTTTGACATTTTAAAGATAAGGAACTTAGAAGCAGAAAAATAAAGCGAAATAAATATTTTGTTACCATATGTATTACTTGATTGGCAGAATCAGAGGCAGAAATGGGGCTTTCTAATGCCTATAGTGTAGAGGTTGTGACAGCCCAAATTTTAATAAAATCCATTTGACATATTTGACTTGCTTGAAACAAATAGGATGCGTTCATCTTTCAGGATGTTTATGTTGCTGTCTTTAAAAAACTTAAAATTTAGTGTTAAGCAGGCTACTTTTTTCAAATGTTCTGTTCTTTTGAGATATAATTCACAATATAATAGATATATTTTTTGTATAATAAAAAGATAATTTAATTGTATTAATTGATGTGTAATAAAATTCACTTTGCTTTGGCAAATACAGTGATGTAAACACTACACTAATTGAGATGTAGAACAGTAACATCATCCCAAAAAACACCTTCATAGGCCTTCCCTTACAGTCCAGCCCTGGTGATCACGGGCCCATCTCTAAAATTTTTTTTTTCCAGAATGTCCAGAAACGGAAGCGTATATGTGTAGAGTTTTGAGTCTGGCCTTTTTCACATGGCATAATGCATTTGAGATTCATCCATGATGTTGTGTACACTAGTAGTTTGTTCCTTTTCATTACTGAGTAATATTCCCCTTTAGTTGTTTCTCATTTTTTGTGATTACCAAAAAATGCTACAGTGAATATAAGTTTTTATTTCTCCTGGTTATGTACCTAGAAGTAGACCTGTTTGGTCATATGGTAAATGTATATTTAACTTTTTAAGAAAGTTCCACAGTTTTCCAAAGTGACTATACCATTTTGCTTTCACACCACAGGGTATGAGTTAAATTACTCTACATTGTCAACAGCATTTGGTATCATTGGGCTTCTCCCCTCACCCCTCCAATCTAATAGGTGTGTGTGGTAACCTTAATGGCTAATGATGTAGAGTATCTGCCAATGTATGTATGTGTCATTCATAGATGTTCTTTGATGCAGTGTCAGTTGATATCTTTTGCCCACTTTCTGAGTTTTTTTGTTTTCTTATTTTTAATTGGTTTTATATATTCTAGATATAAGTCCTTGTGAAATACTTTCTTCTAGTCTATGGCTGTCTTTTTCTTAAAAAAACAGAAATTTAAAATTTTGATAATTTTTTTTTCTTTTATGGATTGGGTTTTTGGTGTCATGTTTAAGAGATCTTTGCTAAATCCAAGACCGTAAAGATTTGTTCCTATGTTTTCTTTCTTTCTTTTTTTTTTAATAGATTTTATTTATTTGACAGAAGGAGAGAGAGAGAGCACGCACACAAGTAGAGTGGTGGGCAGAGGGAGAGGGAGAAGCAGGCTCTCTGCTGAGCAGGGAGCCCGATGCAGGGCTTGATCCCAGGATCCTTGGGATCATGACCTGAGGCAGCCCTTTAGTGGACTGAGCCACACAGGCATCCCTCTTTCTTTTATTTTTTGTTTAAATTCAGTTAATTAACATATAATGTATTAGAAGTTTCAGAGGTAGGCTTCAGTGATTCATCATTGCATATAACACCCAGTGCTCTTTATATCACATGCCCTACTTAATGCCCATCAATCTGTTACCCCATCCCCCCACCTCCCTTCCCTCCAGCAACCCTCAGTTTGTTTCCTATGATTAAGAGTCTCTTATGGTTTGTCTCCCTGTCTGATTTCAGCTTATTTTATTTTTCCCTCCCTTCCTCTGTGCTCTTCTGTTTTGTTTCTTAAATTCCACGTATGAGTGAAATCATATGATAATTGGCATCCTCTGATTGACTTATTTTGGTTAGCATAACACCCCTAGTTCCATCCACATTGTTGTAAATGGCAAGATTTCATTTTCTTGATGGCTGAGTAGTATTCCATTGTGTGTGTGTGTGTGTATCCCACATCTTCTTAATCTATCCATCTGTTGATGGACACATGAGCTCTTTCCATAGTTTGGCTATTGTGAACATTGCTGCTATAAACATTGGGGTGCAGGTGTGTCTTTGGATCACTATATTTGTATCTTTGGGGTATATGCCTTGTACTGCAATTACTGGGTCATAGGGTAGCTCTATTTTGAACTTTTAGAGGAACTGCTATACTGTTTTACAGAGTGGCTGCAACACCACTGCATTCCTACCAGCAGTGTAAGAGGTTTCCCCTTTCCAACATTTGTTGTTTCTGGTGTTGTTAATTTTAGCCATTCTGAGTGGCGTGTGGTGGCATCTTGTTGTGGTTTTATTTTGTATTTCCCTGGTGATGCTGAGTTGTGTTGAGCATTTTTTCTGTTGGCTATTTGGATGTTTTCTTTGAAGAAATGTCTGTTCATGTCTTCTGCCCATTTCTTGATTGGATTATTTGTTCTTTGGGTGTTGAGTTTGATAAGTTCTCTACAGATTTTGGATACTAACCCTTTATCTGAGCAAACACTTGCAAAAATTGTCTCCCGTTCTGTCAGTTGTCTTTTGGTCTTGTCAACTGTTTCTTTTGCTTTGCTGTGCAAAAGCTTTTTATCTTGAGAAGTCCCAGTGCCTCATTTTGCCTTTGTTTTCCTTGCCTTTGGAGACATGTCTAGACAGAAGCTGCTGTAGCCAAGGTCACAGAGGTTGCTTCCTGTGTTCTCTTCTAGGATTTTATTGGTTTCCTATATCACATTTAGGTCTTTCATCCA